AGTTAAAAAATGTCCCTCTTCCTTAATCTATTTCGTTTTTATTAGAAACCCAAAGTACGGTATATTTCTCGAAAAAATATTACTTTATATGATTTTGTTAGAAACATATATTTTCAGAATAAAGCGGTTTCTCGAAAATTGTCAATGAATAAAATATACTTCCATAGTCCAGATAGTCACACCTTAAATATTTTCCTAATGGTTGGGAAATATTCGGATTTCTAATTATACACAACTTGTTTATGTGAGAAAATAAATTGGAAGTTTTTTGTTGCTCTATCTATTTTTACGGCGGTCATCCTTGAAGTGTTCTTGCACAAGTCATTATTATACATCAAAACAATTCTTTTCGTAAGTAATAACTTCAAGTTAGTAATGACTGATAAAGGATCAGCTAGGTTTGTTTATACATGAAAATCTCAAATTTTACTTCTCATGTGGATAATATAATTAAAAATTGTTATCCTGTTTTGCGGCACCTGTACTTGCATAAAGACATAAGTACTGAAAAATTTAAAAGTATCAAAAAATACATATTTATTATCCACATCTAGATTTAGTTTCAGCTATGTAAACGTCTACAAAAAAATCAAAATTCATGTTGTAGATTGATTTTCATTCCGAGAAACTATGATATATATATTAGTTCAACAGCTGAATTGGTTGAATATTGCAAAGTTGTGCAATTTTCATTTATTAAGCTATGTTTGTATGTCTTATTTTCGATTCACTGACACTTTAACTATGCCCCTTCACAGAACCCAATTATTTCATAAATGCTTTATCTATAGTGCGATCGATCTATGAAATGCATTACCATCTAAACAATAAAGATTTTAATCATTTTAAAAAGCATATTAAGCAAATTATTATTATATAATTATATTATGAGATATGAATCAACTCTCAGTATATAGCTCATCTATATTACTTCATATTTCGGTCTATCTTATAAATCTTCACATGTGAACGCCTTACTTAATTTGTAATTTTCATTTAAATTTTGGAAGAATATTTTGTTAAAATTGTTGTGCTAGTTTTTCAAGGGTTAAGTGATAGAATAGCTTGTAGCTAAACTTCGCCCCAAATAAAAGTCGTTTACTAATATTATTACCACTTCAGGGACCTATAATTGTAAGAGAAATTAGCATGAAAAATGAATAAGCGTGGTGTAGTGTTCTAGTCAATATGCTATATAAACGTTTTATGATAATTACGTGTGATTATTCTACTTGAATTTTGTTTCCTATCAATAGACATACAATTGATGTTTTAGTACTGCTTGCTGGACTAGTTTTTGTACTCTTAATCCAATCCTCATTTACAAATTTAAATATTTCTGGTGAAATACATAATTATTAGTCAGAACTAGCATAATAATTTGAGCCTTGCCCGAGGATAATGATAGTTAATGAATGAATTGAAGCTTAATCAAAACAACGAACACGTGAATGTTAATTCCTAAGGAGTAATGATTGTAAATTAATTATTAATAAGTACACCCAAATAGAATTATCATTATTTTACCTATTCGTGCTTGTTTTGGAACCGCTATCTAAATCGAAGTTCAATTATTATTAGTTCTTCCTCTTTCTGTCCAAAACATGGACAAAAATTAAAGGTGGAGGACTATTTCATTCTTTGATAGATTTCCGAAAAGCGCTTTGTTTTCAAAATGCACATTCCACAAAATTTCGAGAAATATCTGTCATTACATTAATTAAAATCGGCTCTCAGTTTCCAAAAACGAAGACCTAAAGATTGTCATGTGGTTTTCCTCCTGATAGGACTCAGTGGTTGTCCAAGAATTGATAAATATAAATTTGAGGTATCAAGCAGTGCTCCGTCCTCCTGAGCCTAGAAGTTTTTTAAATTCATCACGTTCATTTCTTACTGACAATTTGCTTCTGAGCTTCGATCTTGGAAATTGTCTAATTGATTATTGCCACTCAAAACTCAGCTGGCTCTAGTATTTTAAAGAATTGTGTAGTTTACGAAGAGGGGATTATAGTCTTGGTATCTCTGAATAGAGCGGTTTTTGTAGATTAAAGAGTTTCATTTGTGAGTTACGGTAACAAGTGGAGTTATTTTGAAAAATTTGCACTGTTTCGAAATAATTTTTCTAAAATGAAAAAGTAGCAGTAGACTGAATTTACTATAGCACCAGAATCGACGGCATCTACCGGTCACAGTTCTGACCTCGCTGAGAGCGCGAACTGGGATACAGTTCCAGCAGACAGCTCGCTGTTTCCATTTTCGCAGTGACCGATTCTGGTAATAGATGGTACTTTTGGCTCATTTCAATAGACGTGTTACATCCCTCTGATACTTCAATTATTGCTATTATAGCACATATTCAGGTCATATTTTTCTGGGAACGGAGCAACCACTGATTCTGCTTACAAACAAGTGATGAAACAGTCGCGTGGCATAATTAAATCCGTATTGTTTGCAAACATACAAGTGCGATTGGTTTGCATTTGATTTAGTTGGAGTGAATTGTTAAATTGACGGAAAAACAACGCAGCGCGTGTATAAAGCGACAGAAATCGAACATATTTTTGGAATCGGCTGCCTCTGTTTACTAGAATCTGGAGTGTACTATTTTAAGGATCGCTTGACGCTAGTGTAAGATTGTTTTTCCATTTATAAACAATTTATTTTCCTTAATGGTCAGAATGCGTGAAAGTATTCAGAAGAAACAAATTTGTATCAATCTCAAAATTATTGTATTGCCTTCATAGTTCTCTATGTTTTCTGGCTGGTTAATGAACCCACTTATGTAGCCTTGGGTTCTTACTAATGCTTTGGCCACCTCGGCACGGGTATCACGTATCTTGAATACTGACATTATGCCGATTTTTTGACATTATGCTGCTTTTTTTGACATTATGTTATTCTACAAGATGTTAACTTAGCGCTTAGTTGTACGTGTTGCCTAAACGAGGCTTGCTATCAATCTTTGGCTTTGATGTGATATAAAATCTGCTTCTGAGATGGCATTACTGGAGGTCTAAGCTGTAAGCTGTGTGTTGATGAGAATTACATTGGGTTCTTGTCTCAAATACACTTAATTGAGATTCAAAGCTAGAAATTAGTTACGCATCCACTTTTTCTTATCCATTCTGGCAATTACATATACAAATTTGCTGAATTTCGAAAATGAGAGAGGTAATAAATAATTATATTCACTGAACACTGTCGAATTACAAGCCATATACATGCTAACAGTAATTACACACAACGCGGGCGCGGTGATGACTTCCCGTAATTCTCCTCAGTTTTTCGTAATTTATAGCTTTGAACATAACCTCTCTTCAGAAAGCACAACATAAAAATAACCCTTTGGGCACAGCCAATAGATATACTTCATTGGCAACATATCCAGTAATGATTTTCTCACACCGCAAATATCTCTGATTTTATACACATGTAGACCAATACATATCCGATCCAGATTCGATCTTCCTATTCAACCAACTTTCTTCTCAGATATAAAAACTACAGTCAAGGACCATTATTTGGGCTCACAAAACATATGCAACCAATAATGCGTGTAGCTTAGTTGAGTGATTCCTCCTTAGATGGACATTCTCAACGATCCTAGTGAGCAAACGTGGAATGACTGTTTGCGCCCTTAAAACTACCTAGTTTGCAAGATGACATCTTATGGGTTTTTTTACGCTTTATAGGTTTTTTACATGATACCCATGCCGTGTGAATCAGAACAGCAGAAACTACGGCAATGTTGTTCGTGATGTGAAAACCACCTTGACGCCTAGAGTACCAGTGGTGCATTGTCAGGGTTGCCACGTTGGGGGATTTTTTCCCAAATTTGGGGGAGTTTTACTTGAGGATTTTTTTGGAGATATGCTGTTTTGGGAGAAATTACACGTTTCGCATACTCCGTTCTTTGAACCAAACCTACACGTTTTCATTAATTAACTGTGATTTGGCAGATTTGCTTTAATAGCAATTCTGAGGAATTTTTGCGCTTGTTAAGGGGAAATTCTCGACGACCCATCTGGCAACGCTAGACTTCCATATAAACACTTTCTTAATAGTCTAAAATCCAGCTGCTTGAATCTGCAGTTATTTGATTTTTTTTATTATTAAAATTGACTTTAATAAACGATAAGTGACAGCAGATCTATGCGCAATAGATGGTATACGCTTCGATCATTGTGCCCTCAGTCAGGCTCCATGAATTTGTACTATAAAAATCTCCTGTGACCAAAGATGTTATCCCATATCCTCTAGAGATTCTAATCAATGCCTGGACATACAAAACATTTTGTCACTGCCACTTCCGTCGTTTATACATTGAAAAGGGTGGTCAAAATTTTAGCAAAGGCTCATTATTTAATAGCAAAGAAACATGGTGAATTACCAGGATAAGGTCAAGTTTCAGATGTTCTATTACACATACAGGCGTTGTTAAATCGCCGACAACAATACATGATCAGCATCTGTTTTATTATTTTTCAAGGTTTTTATCAAAAAGGTTTGTAACGTAAGAAGATGTTTCTGCCGCAGCGGAGCCTTAGAAAGCACCTAATTTCTCTCAAGATGCTTACTATGGTCACTTTTTATAGTTTGTCTTTTAAAACGTCTAAATGGTCCCTAAAATATGTCAGTAACTTACTCATTATGAACTCAACTTACGAGAATATGTGAAAAATGATCTATATTTGGAATAGATATAATAAACCAAACTAAAACATCAATCAAGAAGTCAGTTCTATTTTTAGCAACAGTTGGACATAGATATTACGATGTAAATGTGAATGATAATCTTGGAAATAATCTAGATTACTCAAATTACCTGAATTCACGTTATTGACATACATGTAGGGTAATTTAGGAAACGCTCAGCTATAATTTAAAATAAGCAATACAAAAATTTCAAGTTAATGTAATGTAACCATGAATCTGTTGTCATATTACAAACAACATTTGAAATAAAAAACCCCTCTGATTATTCAAAATATTCTTTTCAGGTTTTCTGTCTCTAGAAGATCCATCTTTAAATGTCCCAGGTAATGCAGCTCTTAAAGATCAGGTCATGGCACTGAAATGGATCAAGAAGAACGTCCACAACTTTGGAGGTGACCCAAATAACATCACGATCTTCGGAGAAAGCGCTGGTAGTGCTTGTGTTCACTACTTGACCATCTCTCCACAAACTAAAGGTACAGAAGTCATTCGGAATCAGTATTTTACGGGCACTGTTTTCAAAACATCTAATCATCTTTAAATAAACCTTACCGACCGTGTGAAAGATAGCCACTGAAATAATTTGCCGTGCGTTTCAAATTCGACCCTTACCATTGGGATATTAGAGTAAAAAGGTGGGTTAAATGTTGGGTAGTGCATTTAGGTAGCTAGAAGATTGGACCCAAAAAACTTCAAACTAGCTAGTTTTGCATAATTAAGTCCATAATTTCGATTTTCGTGGAGTACTCTGAAGAATTTCTGACTAACATGGTTGGCTTGATGGTTTCCAGGTTTGTTCCAAAAAGCGATCATGCAGAGTGGTTCTTGCTTGAATGTTTGGGCCAGAGGAAAACCAAATGCTGCAGAAGTCGCAAAATGTCTTGGTTATAAAGAAACAGACGAAAAAACCGTACTACACAGGCTTATGAAGGAGAGCGCAAGAACCATCGTTAACTCCCAATTCAAAATCAAGGATGTAAGTATTTACTGACAGCATAGCGATGGGTTTTGCCCATAATGCAATAAAAAATCCGTTTTACTGTTCAAAGTCTAATTTATTACTGCAACACTAATTTATCACACTTGGAACTAGTTTATAACAAATTTATAACTATGTCGACTGGACTATTATTCTATCTTAATTCCGCGTTTTGGTGCAAATGACTTGACTCGAATTGACGGTTTCCGATGCTCTCCAGCATTTTCTAGCAAATAATGTATCCAACAATTCTCTAACCAAATAGAGAAATCTCTATATGACTTGATTTTTGCAACTGATGATTTTCATTATTATTTTCAGGGATTCTTCGCAAGTCAAATACGACCTCTAGGTCCAGTCATTGAACGTCCATCTCCAGACGCCTTCCTTTGTGAGGATCCCATTGAGATTATTAAATCTGGAAGACATCATCAGGTAGGTCACATATATTTGTAACGAAGCTGTGTTAATCCAAGTCATTCCAAAGATCTCAAAAATTTATTTTCAAACCCAAGAAATTCACCTACACCTCTTGTTGAAGAAAAATCGTGGATTATTCCAAAAGTCCTGATTTCACTAAGCCTAGCGCTTGGGTCATAAATTCCACTGATGAGAAGGCGTCTTTGATGTATTTTATCTCATGAATATGGTCGATTTTTTGTAAAATGTCTCTCAAGACAGAGAATAATTATACGGTTTGTATAATATGGGCCTCTAGTTACGATATTAAATCAAGAAATATACTAAGTGACATATAAATCCGAACACCCAGTTTAAATGGTTTTATTTTAATAAAAGTTGGTGAATATATTTATCTTACTGTAAATAACAAGTGAAAAAATTTTCAGCCTTATCAGTTGGACATTCCGGTTTTTATACTGCTTTTTTTTAATTCACTAACGCTCTAAAAATGAATATGTCAGCCGCAGTAAAGAATCAACGTTGGCGGATTTTGGTTCTTGACATCCTTTACGATCGGTTACGATGCCTAGAGTACGGAGACCTGTACGATTTCGTCAACTTAGTGAGTTTGATAGGGGCCGTATAGTGGGACTTCGGGAAGCTGGACTTTCTTTTCGGGCAATTGCAGTTAGAGTGCAAAGAAGTGTAGACACTGTGGTTAGGTGTTGTCAGGCATGGCTTCGAGAAGGCCGTACGCAAAGAGCAAGGGGCACTGGACGCCGCCGTAGAACAACAGACCGTGAAGATCGCCGCCTAAGATTATTGGCCTTAAGGGACCGTTTCTCCACTACCAGGTCCATTACAAATGAATGGTTTGCAGAACACGGAAGACCTATTGGCATGCGAAGTGTTTACCGACGAATGAGAAGTTTTGGCTTGTTTTCATACCGGCCACACTGGGTCCTCCCTTTAACTCGAGAACACCGACGTAATCGCCTTGAGTGGTGCAGACAACGGTCACTCTGGGATCAGAAATGGAACAGTACTGTCTTTAGTGACGAGTCTTGATTTTGTTTAGGCATGCACGATGGTCGTGCCAGGGTTAGAAGGCGACGTGGTGAAAGGAGGAATCCACAGTTTTTTGTTGAAATACATGTTCATTACACTGTTGGAGTTATGGTTTGGGGTGCTATAGCTTATGGTTCCAGGTCACCTTTAACCCTTAACCGGAAAGGTGCCGTCTGTGAGACTGCGGCGTTTCTATACCTGAGCGTATCTTTTTTTATTGTACCTCTAACAGACGTAAAAACCCATCTAATCCATAAGCTATTAGTGACCATCGCCCACCCCCATTCACACGAGTCTAGCCAAAACGTGCCTTAAAATATGGACCAATTTTAGTTTGTTGCAGTCTGTCAGACGGCACGTTTCCGTTCCCGTTTGCTATTTGTGTTGCATAGGTGCGTTTGCGAGTATGGCGGGACCTTCTAAACGTGTACGATACGATGATCCGGAGTTCGAAGAAACCGTTCTAAAATGGTTTGAGGATGAAGGAAGTGACTTTAGTGATATAGACAGTGCCTCAGAAGACGAATACATGGAATCAGATCATACAAGTGATAGTGAGTTATCAGAAGACGGAGCCGAAGGAAATGAAGAGGATTTACCAGCTCAGAATTATTTCTATGGAAAAAATCGTCATAGGTGGAATATTTCGGAAGTTGTACCATCATCACGTACAAGGAAGCACAATATAGTCATTAAAGTACCAACTCTAAGAGGAAAAGCTCCATATGGAGAAGAAGCAGCTCCGTTGACGGTTTGGCAGCTTTTGTTCACTGACGACATGTTGGTACATATCGTTAAGTGGACCAATCACAAGCTCAAAGAAATGCGAAAGAGATACAAAAATCAAACCAGCAACCTAAACGACACTGATTTAGTCGAAATAAAGGCACTATTGGGTCTCTTAGTATATACATCGGTGTTCAACAGCAACCACGAGAACATTGAAACACTTTTTGCCACCGATGGCTCTGGAAGAGATATATTCAGAGCTGTCATGAACATAAAACGATTTGGTATTCTCCTGTCAGCCTTAAGGTTTGATAACCCAGATGACAGGAATTAAAGAAAGAAGCTAGATCCAGTAGCACCAATATCTTTCATTTTTAATAGTTTTATAAAGAACTGTCAAGATGTGTACGGAGTTGGCCAGTCTGTCACTGTCGATGAAATGCTCGTGAGTTTCAGAGGAAGATGTCGATTTAAAATGTATATGCCTGCGAAACCTTGCAAATATGGCATAAAAATTATGGCATTGACGGATGCAAGGAATAGCTACCTCTATAACGCATATATATACTGCGGTAAAGATTCCGATAGTTTCGAACTTCCTGAGGAACACAAGCGGTATTCCAAACCCACACAATCAGTTCTACGTCTCGCGAAGCCTCTGTTTGGAACTAATCGCAACATTACAGCGGACAACTGGTTTACGTCAATAGAATTAATGGATGTCCTATTGAAGAACAAACTGACCTATGTGGGTACAATGAAGAAAAATAAAAGAGAAATTCCTCCGGCATTTTTACCCAACAAATCAAGAGAAGTCGGATCAACAATGTACGGATTTCGAGAAGATTCCACTATTGTGTCTCATGTAAGCAACAAAAATAAAGCCACAATACTCATATCTTCTATGCACCACAGAAAATATTGTGATCCGGAAACACAGAAACCGGAAATAATAGCCTATTACAATGCTAATAAAGGTGGAGTTGATTCTCTTGATGAAAAATGTTCGAAGAGTACCTCAAGTCGCCGTTCGCGTAGGTGGCCACTGGTTATTTTCTACCGACTATTGGATATATCGGTAGTGAACTCGTATATTTTACACCAGTGCTATAAGAAAAATGAATTGCAGAAGGAAAAATCGGTATTTGCTAAGATGTTGGCCGCTAACCTGGTCCGTGAGCATATGGAAAAGCGACTAGAGAGTCCCCGTTTACCTCGGGATTTGCGACTTACGATAAATCGCATCCTTGGCAAATGTGAACATCCAGCAACAGAAGCTGAAAATTTGGTTTTGGAAAAAAGGAAAGCCTGCTTTTTATGTCACCGAACGACCCATCGGATGACCAAATTTTTGTGTGTACAATGTAGGAAGCCTGTATGTCTTCAATGCTCCAAACCCAAATGTATTAGCTGCATAAATATAGGCAATGTTTGAGACTTGCAGTGAATTTTGATTGTGTTCTTTTTGTATTTATTGACTATAATATACTTTCCTTGTTCATTACTTAACTAGAAAATAGAAAAATATTGAGACTTTTCCATAGTTTTAATTTAGTTTCTGAATGTTGCAACAACAGCGTTATTTTTGTATGGTTTTAGCATAGTTAATAAAAATGTTTCTTTTATGTTCTTGTATCATTTTGAAATGAGCATTTTACGTATTAAACACATAAAATAAACATCCAGTATCAGTTTCAGCGAAGTTATTGCTTGCTTTTCGCCTTACTCTAATTTTTTGAACATCTTGAAGTTCGCAGTCTGAGAGACGGCATGTTTCCTTTTGTGTTCCAAAAATTCACGTTTCCTGTTAAGGGTTAATCTTCATCAGAGGTAACATGAACGCGCAGCGTTATATCCACGAAGTTCTAGAACCCCATCTTTTACCCTGTCTTGACACCCTGGCAGATCCAACTTTCCAACAAGATAATGCCCGACCACATGTTGCAAGGGTCATAATAGACTTCTTTCAACATAATGATGTACATTGTTACCATGGCCACCAAGATCTCCTGACTTATCCCCAATTGAGAACGTGTGGGATATGATGCGTAGGAGATTGCTCAATTTGCAACGTCCTCCTCAGACTCTAGAAGCACTTCGAGAGGAGTTGGTGGTTGCCTGGAATGAGATACCACAGGAGGACATTGACCACCTGATCAGAAGCATGCCTAGGCGCGCTGGAGAATGCGTAGCACATCAGGGTGCATCCACACATTATTAAAGGTCAAAGGGCTTTAAAGCAGTGCAATCATTTTGAAATTTCTATCATTTACTTATTATGCTTCATTAAGTACTTATACAAAATTTTATTAAAATAAAACCATTTAAACTGGGTGTTCGGATTTATATGTCACTTAGTATATGTTATAAATCAGATGGTTTAGCTACAAAAGGCTATTTTTTGCGTTCGGATACTAAATTAGCGGCCATGAAAAAGAAGCATTTGCTTCATATTCGAAGATTGGAACAATTCTACTTGATAAATTATTTGAGGACATAAACAAAATAACAGAATGCTTATTCTTTAACAACCATTGGATAAAGATGCAATTTTCTTGATTTCGCAAAAAACGGTGTTCCTTGAGCCAGCCCTGTTATCAGTGAGCTCTCGCGCCCTCTACTGGGCAGTAGGACAACTAATCTATCTCCTAATTTGTGTCAAAAAGTTACGGCAGATCTAAAAAATCTACCAAGTTGTAATGCACAACGAGCCTAAAAGCTCAATTCTGAATCATTGCTAATACAGAAACACCACTACCATAACTTTCTTGATTTGCATTTACTTGAGAGATTTAAAATTTATTTATCGCGTCCCTTTTTAGATTCCAGTGATAATGGGCTACAACTCCAGAGAAGGCATCTTCTACGAACTAATTAGAAGGACCAGAAATTATGCTAACCTTCAGAAGACCTTGGAGCTAGATGTTCCGTATGACTGTGATATACCAGAAAATGATCATGAAGGTAGAAAAAGGGTCGCAGAGCAACTGAAGCAGTATTACTATGATGACGATGACATCTGCGAGGAAAATGTCAAAACCAGATACTTGGTAGGTATCATAACGATTAGTAATATATGGACACGATAGGCCGCATTTGTCCTTTTTTGGTCCAACACTAATGCCATTACGAGGTTTGTTAAAAAAGTATCGCAAATTTTGAATTTTCGCGGGCTAAGTACGTATGTTCGATTTTCGATCTTTTTGTAGCGTTATGATGGTACTCATGACCCTCACTAATGTTGACAATATCGGAAATTTTGAATGTTCAGTTAGTTTTTGACAGTTATTGTGCGTGCACGTGTATTAGCTTGTCTCCGATTTTTGGCTATTCCAAAAAATGATCTAAGAATTTGTATTAAATTTTGTGCGAAAAACAACTTGAAGTGCGCGGACAAATTCCAAATGTTGACTGTTGCATACGGCAAAGCTTCTTTGGACAAAAGCAACGTTTATCGGTGGTACAAAATGTTCCTATTGGGCCGAGAAGATGTGAGCGACGCGAAACGCCAGGATCACAAAACATGATTTTTCAAAATGCTTCGAGGAATGGAAAAAACGTTATCAGAAGTGTATAATGTCTGATGGGGATTAATTTGGAGGGGACAAAATAGATATTCATGAACAAATAAATAATTCTTGAAAAAACATGAGATTCGCGATACTTTTTGAACTAACCTCGTATGTAGGTTTTTCTATAAGATATCAGCTAGCTGTTGTTTACTTGATGTCCATTCGTTCCGTAGCTATACGTGTTGCCTAAACGTCATGATGCTTGAGCTATGATGTGATGTAACATCCGTTTCAGAGTTGGCTGAGATCTAAGCTGTAACTTGTATACTGTAGCTGGAAGGGAACAGGCGAAACGGCGGCGCATATGTGCTTAGTGAAGACTTGTGTAATAATAATCTGTGTTTATGATAATTCCCTTGGTCTCTTGTCTCAAATACACTTACTTCAGTACTTGAGATGTATGGTTCATCCTGAAAATCAAATATATATGCAAATTTGCTGAATTTAAAAAATGAGAGAGTTAAAAAATTCCTGTTTGGCGAACGATATTACAACCATCAGGTGAGAAAATATGCCACAGATAGTAATATTTGTGAAACGTGAAAAAGACATTACATTTTACATTATTTTTCATTTCCAGTCATTTGAATTTTATAGAAATTTATTTTGCGATGATAAGTAGAAAATACAAACCAACGCCTAGATGAGAGACACTGCGAAAACGTTTTGTGTGTGATGCGTCATTTCTAATTTTTCTGTGATGTGGCTTAATTACACATAACGCGTTCGCGGTGGTGATTTCCCGTCATGCTTTTCAAAGTTTTTGAAAACAAAAAAATACAGGCTAAAATTTAGTTTATAACGTATCACTTTTTCATAACCCATTCAGAAATAATTTTCTCACATAGCAAATATCACTGGTTTTATAAAATGCATACTACTACACACAATCATCACCCAATCCGGATGAGGTATTGATACTCTGCTAATCAATCAATTTTCTTTCTGTTATATCTTCTCAGAGATATACTCTACAAATTATCTCGGCATTCTGCAACCAACAAAGCATGTTGGCGAAATGACTCGCAAGCATGGTCGTTGAGTCATTCCTTCATAGGTGACGCTCACAGCACTCATAGCTATCAAGACTGGAATGAACTATTTGCACACTAGGATCTATCTATCCGGCAAGTTGACGTTTTTTTGACGTTATATAGGTCTTTACGTTATAACCCTGCCGGTTGCACCGCCTTGCTGAGGTCAGCATGCTAAATGAAACCATTGATTAACGAATACGACTTGAACGTCACATTCGTTGAGTATGCTTAGAACTGAAGTGGAACTCAAATAGACAGCTGAGCTAAGTCAAATAGTTTGCTTAAAGTGGATTTTCTAACCTTGTCAACTTGTAGATCAAATAGTCGAAAAATCTTGAATATGGATACAGAAATTGATGAAATAAATCTGGAGGATAATTTATTTTCTTTATTAACATTTTATCAGCTAGTTAGAAAATCAGTTGGAGACACAAGTGGATAATGGTGACACGTAACAAAAGTACCGGATGCAAAAAATTGACATTAAAATTTTTTTATTGGAACTTTTTACTTTATTGACATTTTAAATATTTAGTTTAGTTAGTTTGTTATTCTTGTTTTTGAAACAAAGTAATCACAGAATGCAAGAATAAGGTCAGTTTAATGCAAAAAAGTAATTTTAAAAAAATGTTACATGATACCTTTATCCACTTGTGTCTCCAATTATTGTATAAGAGGTCATCGGCCTCGTATCTTTGCCTCTCTAAGTTTACAACATTTCTCACTGAAATAACGTCAGGTAAACTCGATATGCTAGTAGGTACTTGGAATTAATTCAAAAGCCATGATATCAATAACACTCTAGATATAAATAGAACCGCAAACAGCGATAAGCTGAACACTTAGTAGTCGTTTTGAAGATTACAAGCGATTTTCGAAAACGCTAAGGGTGAGACAAACGGGAATACCATATTTTAACACACACCTCGACAGCAAGCGCAAATGACGTCATATTTAGAGCGACTTGAAACGCTTTTAAGAACGAGAATACAGACCCTGATTTTTTCCTCCTTATTTTTAATACCATGTCTTGCGAAGGTTTTTAATCATAACTTATGTCGTAAAAGTTTTGGCACAAAATATTTATCGGATTTGTTTTATGAAGAAATTTATTTAAACAGTAACTAGTTATCATAAATTACTACCATGGGCTTGCCAGCCTCCATGGTAAACCTTCCCAGACAGTAAAACCCATAAATCCTCTAATGGGCGAACCTGCGGCAAGGTTGGAGTATTAGTGTTCTTGGAAGCAAAAGGTATGTTGTGTTGTCCAAGTCAGTTTTGGGTTAATATTGAGGAATGATATGATGCTCGGACTGGCCAATTTGGAAAGGCAATTATCAATATAGCTCTGACTATTCCCAGCTTCACCCCTCACTCTTCCCACAAAAAAGTGAGATACACCACTGTTAGAAATTGCGCACCAGACAAGGATCTTATCTGCAAACTTTCCGTATAAAATCCGTCGCTTCCCTTCATTTCAGAATTATTCAAAGTGAAATACTTTTCGTCATATAAATAATCATTTTTCTATTGACAAAGTCAACCCGTCTCAGTTAAAGACAGCATCTTGGTATACGAAGGAGCTGCGGTTGAGAGTATTTGGGGCACTTTAGTCTTTTTCGATATTTTAGGTCCGTATCGTCAGTCGTCCCTACAATTGTAGGGCGCCTTTATGGCCTCCTTGATTGTCATAGTTTTCTACTTCTCCGTGTCAGCGCTCTATTTTGAGGTTATGTCACAAACATCTATTTGCATCAAATTGTGCTTGCTGTTGAGTTATATCATGTTTTATCAGCCTGAAATTTCCTACAATTTGAAACGAAAACATATCCTCACAATAGGAGGGCGCTGACGCTGACACGGGACAAGTGTAATCTAGAAATTTTTGAAGGTGAGAAAGGAGTATGACAATCAAGGAGGCCATAAACGCGCCCTACAATTGTAGGGACGACTGACGATACGGGCCTAAGACGATTCCTCCTCAACTACAACCTGATTTTTTGCTCTTCTCACCAATCTTTCTGGCTTCTGTATAATTTAGATGCACGTGGTCTTCCACTTTTTGGGAGATTCAGACATGGCATTCCCTGCTCGCACTCCGCTGTTTTTCGATAAATGGTTCTGCGTGATATATACGACATCTTAAAGCGAAAATTTCAAAATTTCAAAATAAATAAATGTCAACTGACAGTAGTAAACAAGCTTTTGTTTCCAACGAAACTTGATATTATTTTGTGTTTTTCAGAATTAAAGCCAATTAATTTTGTGCCAAGACTTTTAGAACATACGAGTACATTATAAGTTTTTGTAACTTGACGAACTTACTATATAGAAAAAATCTACATTCATGCTTTCTGTTTCAGCTGACAGGAGACATCCAGTTCGTCTACGGGATCCAAAAAGCCATTCAACTCCAAACAAAATACGGCAACCAACCGATATACGTGTACCGAAATTCCCTGGACGGTCCACTGAACTTCTTCAAGAAATTCTGCCAAGTGAAGTACTTCAAAACTGCCATAATGATCAACTTCTTCGCTAAGATGTCAGGCAGCAACGCGGTGAAGAGTATCTTTCAGAACCTGCGGAACAAGCTTCCCTCCAACACTATAGATGGCGTAGCACACGCTGACGACATTTTCTATCTCTTCACAACTTTCTTCACGCCGAAAATTGCTCTGGGCAGCGAGGAGGACCTGCTGATTCAGAAATTCGTCAAAACGTGGACGAATTTCGCGCGATATGGCAACCCCACACCGGAGGCTGACGAGATTCAGAACAAAGTTATTTGGAAGCCTATCGAGAGTCCGGAAATCGATACGATCTTTGACATTGACAGACACGCCAGGCTCACAGACAACATGGAGCTAGATCGGATGAAATTGTGGGACAGTATGTACAGCAAATACACAATTTGAAATGTATTAAATAAAAATAAGTGATATTGTCTAAGCACTAGAGTGATAATCACTTGATTTGCATTTAAAAATGTGCAACAAATGAAATGATGACGTGTTGCACACTGAGCCATAGTGCACGGTGTTGAAAGGATCAGTGCCGGATTAAGTCAGTGCGGAACTTGTAGCAAATTATATCATGGGGCCCAGAGACGGACTTAGAGAGATTTTTTTGTGGGGTGGGACAAGGAAAATGGAATGCTTGGAGATTGAACTTTGATGTCACTGCATCAGTGCTCTCACCCCCAGGAAAGATACTTTCATAAAGCATCGTTGGTTCGCGGGGTCTGAAGTATTTGCTACTCTTGCCACTCTGTTAATCCGCCACTGGTAAGGATGCACTTGGAGTGACAGATTTATGTTGTTTCAATGCGATGTATTTATTTTTTGTTAGAGAAGCTTTAATATGGTTAGAAGATGTTAGCTTGATATCAAGCGTATTTATACTTGTTAGTGGTAAGTGTGTATTATGTGAAATAAATTATTTTTTACAAATTTGTAGTTTCATTCCATTATTGCCGTTTGAATAGATTGTGGATGGATCAACACAGAAAAAATAAATTAGTATCCCATCAAAACTACACTGCAAATATTATGAAAAAACAGTACTACATCTGTCTCTTAGGACACAAAATCGATGATGTCTTTTTGTTTCCACTATTTTGTAAAATAAACAACAATAAAACTGAAAAACGGCACCAATACTATATATTTAACGTTAGTTCAGATGGAAACCTAGTTTATCTTGAAGATGTCTATGGCACAAGTACTTATAAATCCCGTTTGAAATTTTTAATCGGTGATTAAAACGTGAATGTTGAAGTCTAAAGATCGCCTAATTCATTTTTAATTAATCAAATTCTTCAAAAATGAATTTTATCGGTCATGATGATATTTTAAACGATGATTTGGGTATTCCTGAACTAGTGAATAGTGGTATTCTATAAGAATTATTCAAAAACCAAAAACAAAGACTATACCCAAGAGATTATTGATTATAGCATTTTTTAGGAAATTTAGTTTGTACACTTTTGAATATTCTGCCTGAATATTCTGCCTCAGATAATTTGTGAGTTGTCTACCATCTTAAATTACATGGAAAAGTCCCTAGATTTACCTGTCATTTTACAAACCTCAGATTCAATGTTGGCGCAACCGGCCATTGATACCATATGGCATGAATAACAGTCTTTCATTATTTTACAAAATTTGACTAAAGAGATATGAATGTTGTTTCAGTTCCGGTTGCAACCTAAACTAAACCGAAACTCTGATTTTGGACCGAAACTGGCCGAAACCGAAAGTTCGGTTGGACACTATACTCAACATAAGGTCAATTTGGCTGAAATCGATACGGCGTTATAGTTCGTTTTACGTTTTTTGCCGGTTCACACTAAAACTACCAGCCTCATTTTTATATATCCATCACTCTCACACATACTTATTGTAACGCCCTCGTAACTGGGACCGTGAATAACGCTGATACATCATCGTATCGACGCATCGGCAACCAGAATTACGTGACTGTGCATCACGAGCGGTATAGCTTGTTGCATCTTTGCACATCATTTTTGTCCTCTACAAGGTGGAAAATCAGAATTTCAGTCTGACGTTTCGTTGTCCTCCACCATCCACTTCATTATTTCTTCGGAAATATTCCGAATCAACAACTTTCTAAGTGCCATTTTCTAAGAACAAATCAAATATACAAAATTTCCTCAGTTAACCGTCTTCGTATTTTTTACCGTTTGCGAGATCCCAATGGTTAAGGGTTGAATTTGAAACCGGCATATCTGGGTGGATGCACATACGTGGTTAAGATTTTTATTTTGTCTTGGGTATGAATTTGAAATATAGCCTGATTAAGAAATATTTAATTAGAAAATGATAAGAGCACATTTCTTGACGCGTTTCTTGTATGCTGAATATGAATTCGTGGTCAAAATAGATGAATCGCTTTTTGGCATTCAGAAAATCGCTGAAAAATCTTCAGAAAATTGGTAAATAGCGGCTATGAACTGCAATAGATACCGCTTGAGCAACAAGAGTAATTTCACGTTTCTATCTATGCTGCTCTTATCCGATGTCAGAATGGCTGCAGCACTGCTTAGTCTTTAGAAAAGTGCTAAAGAATCTGTAGAGAACTGAGGAAGAGCGGCAGAAAAATGCTAAATATGAAGCTGAAGGCTTTTTAGCACTTTTTTGATTGCTGAGAGGTTTTTTTTTTAGTCAGATCGTAAATCATTGCTCTTGATGTTTATCGAACACGTGAGTTCGATAACTTGTGAAGGTTGCCGGTTCAGAAAAGACTCGTTACCTGTAAATTTGACCTATTTCCTAGAAGAATAGTTGCGGGGGCTTTTTGCAGCACTCTGTGTCTTTGCTATCTTGCTTAGGAGCTTTGACATGTTTTTATCTGTACTTTTTGTTTCAGTGGTATTGCCGTTGTTTTTTAAATAGTCCTGCTCAGTTTAAAGGGGACTAATCTTAAGAGAGCATTCACCATTTTCAGCACGCGCACAGTTTACTGACACATTCACCATATTCTTAAAATTCGTACCAATTACACCTATACTTTGACCTATCCGGTTTGTTTCACTTGAACGCCTCCAGATGGGGCATAAAGTAGCTAAAAGAACAAGGAAGCAGTGGCGTGGGTAGGAATGAATTTGCCTCTTAGGCCCGTATCGTCAGTCGTCCCTACAATTGTAGGGCGCCTTTATGGCCTCCTTGATTGTCATACTTTTCTACTTCTCCGTGTCAGCGCTCTATTTTGAGGTTATGTCACAAACGTCAATTTGCATCAAATTGTGCTTGCTTTTGAGTTATATCATGTTTTATCAGCCTGAAATTTCCTACAATTTAAAAGGAAAACATTTCTTCACAACAGGAGAGCGCTGAAGCTGACACGGGACAAGTGTAATCTAGAAATTTTTGAAGGAGAGAAAGGAGTATGACAATCAAGGAGGCCATAAACGCGCCCTACAATTTTAGGGACGACTGACGATACGGGCCTAAGTGTCGATCCTGACAGTTGGTTAGCAGCTCTTGCTGTAGTCTGGTAATTGGTTAGGTTGGCTTCACGGAATGGAGGACATGTAGGTTCGAATACTTCCGGTGCCCATTATGCTTTTCTCTCGAGTTTTTGTTTTCCAAAGATATTTAATATTGTCAACTGTTTTTGTTATAGTGGTATGGATTCGGATGAGAGGGAGGATGGTTTATTGATGAGAAGTGTGAGAAGTAAGGTATCAAGATTTAGTGTTATTTACAATTGGTAATAGCTTAGCGTAAATAAAAATATGTTAAAAGAGACAACAAGTATCTGAATAGCAACGTTCGCAAAAAACACCCAAGCAGAAAAGACAGTGAAACCCGGTTAAGTGGGCCCTGAATATTGTGACGAGAATAAATAGTACTGTTGGCGCCATCTGTTGGGAGACTCTCCTATTCGCCAGAGCTTCATGGCCGATCTCTGCTTTTACGCGCTTGGCGACGTCTGTGAGGACCATGCCAGTGACTCGCCTTCTAGATCGACGCGAAGTGACCTCGAAGAGTCTAGGCTGCCGCTTTGTGGCACGCCAGACTCTTCTCGCTCCACGATGCGGACTATATGACTCGACGGCCGGTAGAGGGAAGCAGAGTACGGTAGAGTAACAGAGCAGAGTGGAGTATAGTCCAGTCAGTGGCGCGACATGATAATTAGGTAGACATAAATAGAGGTGTACATAAATGTTCTATCTAGTCAAGATAAATAAAATACTGCATTTCTTTTTTTACAGTGAGGTACTCGCCACTTTTGAATTTAAATACATCTCTTACTAGGAATTTGCAGTCGCTTTTAGTTGAGATTAGGTATCTTAGATATTTGCCTTTATCATTAGGACTTTTTAGCTGTGTAGAAAGTATATATGAGACGTTGTATGAGGGGTCTGAACATGTTGGTTTACGAACATTGGAATTTCAGACGGTACATTTCGATCTGTCTTAAGGGAACCATTTATAAAAACGGTCATAAGTGACAAATAATATTCCAGCAGTGATAGCTCAATAATGCGTCTTACTAAGGCTAATGCTACACGATCAATATCAACTGTGATCCATCAGGTTCGTCATGGAATGTGGTATTTATTGACCGTGTAGCCAGGGTCGCAGTAACTGTTGATGTATAAGGTTACGTAGAAATTCACTGACGCAGACTTAGTGAGCAGGTTGATACGGACCACATACTGGTCGTGTGATATTCGCCTTAGATCCCACAATCCTAAATTTTCATAAAAATTAGACGCTGACTGCTCTAGAAAGCAATCGCAGCAATTCTTCGTGCGGCATAATACATTGCACAGTGTAATTTAAAAGATGCATAAAAAAAATCGGAGTCAAAGCACTCGCACATCCGACAAAATTGATGAACAACCTTGAAAAAGAGTTATAAGTAGATTAGAAGCCATAATAACTCAAGGTGTATGGATTCATACATTCCAATGACAAAGGTTCTGAAAATATATTTTCTCCTCTCAAGTTATTGGTATGTGATGGAAGTGTTACAAGTGCTTGCATACTCATTCTGTTTTCGCTAGTGTGATGACTTTTCTATTCGTCAGATAAGTGAATAATTCAATTTGTGTTTTTTTCCAGGAAATCGTGAAGTGTTCTCGGATATGTGCGGAACGTAATATACAGGGTGGCGCATCGAAAACGAAACAGACGCATTTACTGGCAGCTCAGTTTTTCGAGGGGGACACAAGTTTGGCAAAAAATCACGTGCAGCCCCCTGGGCGGGAGTGACACCAACCCTAAAATCTTAAATGGAAAGGGGGGTCGAGTGATACGTTATTTTAAAGGTCTTTCAATTCCATTTATAATGATATAAAATTAATGTACTTCAGTTCACTAGTTTTGAAGATTTATTGATTTAAAGCTTAAAGTAGACTTTAATAGGTACATCAGATTAGATTATACTACTTTCAGAATAAATTTGACTAAAAGAATTTACTTAACAAGTAAATGCTTTTATTCACTACGCCCATGGTTTGCTTATCATTTCGTTGTTGAAAATAGCAATTGGAGCGTTTTCTTGTGGCAACAAAGTTATTTCTTGAAGAAAGATAAGGAAATATCTCGTACTTATTTTAAATAGGAATTTAGTACATAGTTTGCTATTGATTTGACCAAACTTTCTTGCTAAAATAACTTGTAACGCTTTATTACATAAATTAACCATGATATATTCCACAGCAGGAAGAGTTGAAATTATCGAAATATTTTTCGGAAATAATCAGTGCGCTAATAGAACAGCAGAAATATTTAATGAGCGACATGAGAACAGTAACGTGCATCGAAAATATGTTCTAGAACTTGTAGCTAAATTTCGGGAAACTGGGTCAGTCGCCAATAAAAAACGCAACATAGAAAATCCCATAAGGAACGAAGCAATAGAAGTGGGGGTTTTAGGGCAAGTTTATGTAGATCCTACGTTAAGTACCCGCAAATTG